TTATAATATGTTGTGCACCGGACACCCAATTCTACACGAAATAAAGACCAATTCTTTCCCGTAAATTCCAACACTTGCCTTAAGAGAGAGAGTTAAGGAAGCCAGAAGCACTAGAGAGCTGTGTGTGTTATGGAGAAGCTTGCTCAGTATACGATGTCGATGGCTGTCATCCTCTTCATCTTCGTGCCTGGAAGATGCCTCAAGATTTAAGACTCACGAAATCGTAATAACACAATTGTAAACGAATCACGGAATGAAGCAACATTCCTTGTAATTTACTAATGCAAACTTCAGAATGTGCCTTTAAAATTTCTTCAGTTAGTTCTGTTCAAGAGTGATTATATCAAGAATCTTGAGGACTATGGTACTATCAATAAAAACAATGTACTCTGATTTAAAAGCAAATATTCTATCATTAAAAACAATGTACTCTGAGTAAAAACAAAGATTATATCATTATAAAATCATGAATTCTGATTAAAAACAAAGATTATATTAAAAATAATGTATCACTAATAACCATGATACGACCATAAAGAAATATCTCACCATAATTCCAGTAGGATATGGTCCCACTGAAGATCACCAATGAGCCTGGGGAAAAAATATAACGTTAACGAAATTCAGATCTGTTTTAGTATTGTCCTGATGACCAACGTCTTCAGTGGCCTCGTAATGGACTGTTATATTGTCTCATTACTTTTCTGGGGGAGTAAGAAAATTTCTTGTTGATCTCTCTACTCTTTCTTTGTCAGTTTTAAGTTGTTGCTTTAATTGTGCGTCAGACTAGATGCTCTGAAGTGGTCAGTGTTAACGCTATCAAGTCTATTTCGCAAATATTATGTATTTCTTCTCCTATGCCAAATCAAAATCGAGAACAACGTCCAGTATTGGGCCCCTACTTAAACAAGATGGGTCCTACACAGATGACAGCAAGGAAATGAGTGAGCTACTCAAGTCCCAATATGGCTCAGTTTTTAGCAAGCCGCTAACCAGACTGAGAGTCGAAGATCAAAATGAATTTTTTATGAGAGAGCCACAAAATTTGATTAACACAAGCCTATCCGATGTTATCCTGACGCCAAATGACTTCGAACAGGCGATAAATGACATGCCCATGCACTCTGCCCCAGGGCCAGACTCATGGAACTCTGTGTTCATCAAGAACTGCAAGAAGCCCCTATCACAAGTCTTTTCCATCCTGTGGAGAGGGAGCATGGACACGGGGGTCGTCCCACAGTTACTAAAAACAACAGACATAGCCCCACTCCACAAAGGGGGCAGTAAAGCAACAGCAAAGAACTACAGACCAATAGCACTAACATCCCATATCATAAAAATCTTTGAAAGGGTCCTAAGAAGCAAGATCACCACCCATCTAGAAACCCATCAGTTACACAACCCAGGGCAACATGGGTTTAGAACAGGTCGCTCCTGTCTGTCTCAACTATTGGATCACTACGACAAGGTCCTAAATGCACTAAAAGACAAAAAGAATGCAGATGTAATATATACAGACTTTGCAAAAGCCTTCGACAAGTGTGACCATGGCGTAATAGCGCACAAAATGCGTGCTAAAGGAATAACAGGAAAAGTCGGTCGATGGATCTATAATTTCCTCACTAACAGAACACAGAGAGTAGTCGTCAACAGAGTAAAGTCCGAGGCAGCTACGGTGAAAAGCTCTGTTCCATAAGGCACAGTACTCGCTCCCATCTTGTTCCTCATCCTCATATCCGACATAGACAAGGATGTCAGCCACAGCACCGTGTCTTCCTTTGCAGATGACACCCGAATCTGCATGACAGTGTCTTCCATTGCAGACACTGCAAGGCTCCAGGCGGACATCAACCAAATCTTTCAGTGGGCTGCAGAAAACAATATAAAGTTCAACGATGAGAAAATTCAATTACTCAGATATGGTAAACATGAGGAAATTAAATCTTCATCAGAGTACAAAACAAATTCTGGCCACAAAATAGAGCGAAACACCAATGTCAAAGACCTGGGAGTGATCATGTCGGAGGATCTCACCTTCAAGGACCATAACATTGTATCAATCGCATCTGCTAGAAAAATGACAGGATGGATAATGAGAACCTTCAAAACTAGGGAGGCCAAGCCCATGATGACACTCTTCAGATCACTTGTTCTATCTAGGCTGGAATATTGCTGCACACTAACAGCACCTTTCAAGGCAGGTGAAATTGCCGACCTAGAAAATGTACAGAGAACTTTCACCGGCGCGCATAACGGAGATAAAACACCTCAATTACTGGGAGCGCTTGAGGTTCCTAAACCTGTATTCCCTGGAACGCAGGAGGGAGAGATACATGATTATATACACCTGGAAAATCCTAGAGGGACTAGTACCGAACTTGCACACGAAAATCACTCACTACGAAAGCAAAAGACTTGGCAGACGATGCACCATCCCCCCAATGAAAAGCAGGGTGTCACTAGCACGTTAAGAGACCATACAATAAGTGTCAGGGGCCCGAGACTGTTCAACTGCCTCCCAGCACACATAAGGGGGATTACCAACAGACCCCTGGCAGTCTTCAAGCTGGCACTGGACAAGCACCTAAAGTCAGTTCCTGATCAGCCGGCTGTGGCTCGTAACGTTGGTTTTGCGTGCAGCCAGCAGCAACAGCCTGGTTGATCAGGCTCTGATCCACCAGGAGGCCTGGTCACAGACCGGGCCGCGGGGGCGTTGACCCCCGGAACTCTCTCCAGGTAAACTCCAGGTATGATTAACTCATGACATGTCTTATGTACATTCATTGACATAAGGCCTAAGCTTGCCCGAAATTCTCTGCATTAGAGCGAAAAACTAATGTGAAGGACCTGGGAGTGATAATGTCAGAGAATTTCACTTTCAAAGATCACAACAATGTACCTGCCACATGGCTTTCAACATGCTCACAAGTGTCATCCATTTCTGCATGAAAAATGTATCATGTGGAAATACAACTGAATTTGTATTTAACTTACAGAAGCTGGAAAAACTCTTAGTAAGCAGTGAGCTGTTTAACAGCATCATATAAAATCTAGGAAAAATTAATTCCAATGTCAGTAATCTTTTACAATAACTAAGATGATTAAGTATTATAATAAATATTATATTAAAGAGACACAGATTTTTTCACATACAAATACATTATATAAAAAATGACATAATAACGTACACGTCAAATTTCTGCATCCACTTCGGATAAAGAGTATCTTTTTCTGTTTGTGTCCTCTGGTCCATGTTGCCGGGAGCAGACACACTCAAGTAGGTGTTTGTTGGACCTGCGGATAAACTCTTGATGATGAGTTCGGAAGACCAAGCTTCATACATCATGGCTGAGTCAGTGTTATAGATTTTTTAAGCCACGTGTAGGTCATAGCCTTATGTTATTATTGTTACTGAGACCAGTGGTTGAAAGTCAGTGTAAAATTACAAAAATGAATTACGCTACCCTAGTTCACTGAAACCTAAATTGTTGCCTCTGTAAATTTCCTAATATTACTATTACTACTAGTAAAACTGCTACTACTAGTACTACTACAACTAGTACTACTACTACTACTACTTCTAGCACTTGTACAGACGCACTTAAAACTGGCGATGGTTCTTGGTCTAACTTTAGTGTCGGGTTAATCTTCTTAATTATTAAACTAAAATCGAATTTAATTTATATGACACTAAACAGTCATTACATCAGATTAATATTACTTCATCGTTTAATATACTGAGAGCGCGCTCAGTCTGTAAATATCTAGCATTTATCAGCAAGTAATGGAAAGAGTACTACAGCGTGTGTGTTAATTTACATTTACAATTTTTCCCCAGAATCTTTCCAGCTTTTAAAGTTCGGACAATCCTGCACACACACACACACACGCACACACATGAAGAAAGATTAAGGGAAATCGGCCTGACGACACTGGAGGACAGGAGGGTCAGGGGAGACATGATAACGACATATAAAATACTGCGTGGAATAGACAAGGTGGACAAAGACAGGATGTTCCAGGGAGGGGACACAGAAACAAGAGGCCACAATTGGAAGTTGAAGACACAAATGAGTCAGAGAGATAGTAGGAAGTATTTCTTCAGTCATAGAGTTGTAAGGCAGTGGAATAGCCTAGAAAATGACGTAGTGGAGGCAGGAACCATACACAGTTTTAAGACGAGGTTTGATAAAGCTCATGGAGCGGGGAGAGAGAGGGCCTAGTAGCAACCGGTGAAGAGGCGGGGCCAGGAGCTAGGACTCGACCCCTGCAACCACAAATAGGTGAGTACACACACACACACACACACACACACACACACACACACACACACACACACACACACATTCTAAAAGTTTTCAAAGCAGAAACTAGCTGCTTGCAACAGGAGAGAAATGTACAGTAAAACAAGGTACGTACCTTTGGAATCCCTGCGACACAGAACCTTTGCTTCTCTCACCATCAAGTGAAGAGTTACTGCAACTGGCTGGGAAGACGTAAAGCTCCACCATAACTAATCATATCATGGAAGGTGTTACGGGAATATTGACAAAGTGTAGTTGAAGATGACACACAAGCAGTGGTTTTAAGCTTTAAGATAATGTTTTGGAAACATTAAAGATAACGTTTTGGAAACCTTTAAGATAACGTTTTGGTAACCTTAGGAAAATCTAAGATAACGTTACACTTGAACAACAGGCTTTTTCTAGTCTAAAAAAAAAAAAAACTGTCTTACAGGCTGCTTTTATCTCTGTACTTACACAATTTATTGTTATCTCTGCACTTAAACATACAAACAAGTTATTAACAGACTTTTACGATAACCTTCGAAACAATTTATTATACCAGTCCTCCAAAATTAATTAGTGTTTGATGATAACATCGTCATATTTTTTTGAGTATTTTTAAATAAAATATATCAGATATAATATAAACACTAATGACTTTATTAACTGCTTAGTACTGCCTAATAATAAAAATAAAGTAACTGTCAAAGTGGGAAATCATAACACTGTTGATATGTTAATAGTCTAAACTAAATTAACTAAACACGTATTATCTCCCTTGAAATCAGTGACCAGAATAATTTATTTTGGTAAAACAGGTCCTCAGCATCATTCATTTACTAGCTGTCTTGCCTTGCCAGGACGGTGCAAACCTCACAGATCAGTCAACCCTCCAAACTTCAACATCACCACACACCTCTTGCAGAATGGAGGCACTGTACATCCCACCGCCAGGACTCAAGCCCGGCCACCACCATCAGCTGACAATTTTAATAGTCCCCTCCCTCTATTTTTTATTACACTGTTTAACTAGACTTTTCTGCAATTTTTTTACCTTTCTGTGTTGAACTTGTGTCTTCATCCGCTGAATGGTTTCTTCGTCAACACTGAAAATGTCTTGAAGACACTGCATCACCTGAGGTACTGTTGTTCTTACTATGGGACAGGTGATGTTACTAGGCTTCCTACCAGGCACACAGTTTGCTCGACCAGCTGCAACACTTGCAACATGCCACGGTCCACTCTCACCCATAAGGGCATTAACGCTGTACAACACATCCAGCAAAAGCTCTTCTGTCTGCTGGAAAAAAAAAACGGTTATTTTATTTAGTTTGCTAGAGTACAAGGAAGGTGTAATGTTAGTCAGGAAACAGGACAAGTGTTTCCTGACGCGAGTCTTAGTCATACGATGACCCACAGCTGGGAGCTTTCGGCTGGCTGGGTCAGTAAGAGAAGAGTTCATGTTAATGAAGATAAATACTTCATTTATTATATTATTAATATTATTATTATTATTATTATTATTATCACAACTAAGTGCTAAACCCACAAGGGTCATACCATTTTTTTTTGCCTCCTGAGTTTTTTATGTAACAATATTTTGGTTTTGACTTTTGTTTAAATCGTACATATGGATGAAAAGTTTTCATGGTTCACTTAATAAAATGCTTTGCCGGTCAGTTGAAAAAAAAAATTCAACTATTTCCATTTTTCTTATTGTATAAAAATAATTTAGGCACATGAATATAAGTATTAAATATTTTACAATGACTTAAACACCATGTCAAAAACAACAGCTGTGACTGTCTTAAATATTTTTAATACTGTAATATCTTATTAATACTCAATTATTCTTTTAGGCTGACTAGATTAATTTTATTTTATTTTATTTTTTTTGGAGAGGATTAATAAATAATTCTGAATTATACAATTTTTTAAAATACTGAAAATTCCCCAACAAAAGATTTGCATTATTATAATATATCTAAATGTCATACTGACACATGTTATATCACGTTGAGACGTGTATTATATGCTGCGAAAACAAGGTTACTTAAGCACAATTTCGTGGGTCAAAATAAAGAAAAATAAAACAATTCTAAGAAACTACTGATACAAGTAGGTCGAAAGTCCAGCTGTTGCGGATCAAAATTAGTTAAATCGTCAAGTTATTTGGCTTCTAGACTCCTCCCTTCTCTCTTCTTCCTCCTCCTTCTATCCCCATACCCGTCCCCTCCCCCCGGACTCCATCCTCCCCCTCAACACAGGGCTCTTTTCTGCAGGGAATGAGATACTGATCCTAGTAAGGAATCGTTCAAGACACTGTACACTGTGTACGTCAGGCCCATACTGGAGTATGCAGCACCAGTTTGGAACCCACACCTGGTCAAGCATGTAAAGAAATTAGAGAAAGTGCAAATTTTTGCAACAAGGCTAGTTCCGGAGCTTCAGGGGAATGTCCTATGAAGAAAGGGAAATCGGCCTGACGACACTGGAGGACAGAGGGTCAGGGGAGACATGATAACGACATACAAAATACTGCGTGGAATACATAAGAGTGGACAGAGACAGGATGTTCCAGAGAGGGGACACAAAACAAGAGGTCACAATTGGAAGCTGAAGACTCAGACGATTCACAGGGATGTTAGGAAGTATTTCTTCAGTCATAGAGTTGTCAGGAAGTGGAATAGTCTAGCAAGTGATGTAGTGGAGGCAGGAACCATACATAGCTTTAAGACGAGGTATGGCAAAGCTCAGGGAGCAGAGAGAGAGGACCTAGTAGCGATCAGTGAAGAGGCGGGGTCCAGGAGCTGAGTCTCGACCCCTTCAACTACAATTAGGTGAGTACGCACACACACACACACACACACACACCAAGGCCCAGTAACAGAGCCACTCCATAAACGCTCCAGGACTCCAGCTGTGTCTCCTTCAGAGTCGTTGCCAGCTGCGCAGTGCATTCTTACGACGGCCAAGTTTTTTTCTACCTATGTCAGCAACTCAAACAATATCAGGTGCACCTCCCATGAAGTTATCGGTCTTCTGTTGCTTGCAACATACTGGGCGCTGCCTGAGAGTTCAGGTATAACTAATTCTCTCCAGCGAGAAGGCAGGAGGTGCCCTTCCCTACCCATTCACCAGCGTCGAGGAACCTCCTCTGGTGTAGTTGGAAGCGCACTCAGCTCAGACACCGAGTGTCTGTGGTTCAATTCCCGGCATGGGTGGAAACGTTGGGTATGTTTCCTTACACCTGCTGTCCCTGTTCACACAGACGTTGTATAATCTCTAAGGATTAAGCGCTCCATCATCATCATCATAATAATAATAATGGCCCTGTTCACCTAACAGTAAGTAGGTATTCGGTACTAGTCGACTGTTGTGGGTCGCATCTTGGGGGTGGTAGTATACCTTGGATAGGGCTGGGCTTAGAAATGAACTGAGGCAGGATAACAGGACTTAGTCTGTAAAACTGACGTGCAAAAAACAAAAGGCATAATGACACCTTGTCTGAATGGCGGAGAGAATACACATTGTCCTGTCAAAATTATTCACAGAGAAGAAATGCTAAAGTTGATCTGATCATTTATCGGGTATCCAAACTTTGTATTAAATTTCTAAACTGGAGCATTTTACAGCCATGTTGCTTCAGTTGTCACCTGGATGCTGGTTGCATCTCCCAGCAAGTTGGAGACGTGACCTTGCACACGTTGCAGAATACATCACACCTGTTTCATCTCGCCTTCATTTAGTGCCAATTCACCATGCTGGCTGAACCACTATAAATGCAGGTACATATTTCCTGTATTTTGAGTCAGCTGTTTTAACTATTGGTTAAATTACTAGTTTAACTACTGGTTCAATCATTGGTCCAGTCATAATTCAATTTATTGGAACCTGTGTACATTCCGGTCCACCACCTCCATTGCTGGTCCTACTTTTTTTTTTCAAACCAGTTCTTATACCCTGGCTCACCTCCTCTGCTTGCTGCTGCACTGCTCTTGAATTTGCTGCATCCTTCGTGACTAGCGGAGAGACAGTAAACAACATGTACAGAAGCAGTAAAATCAACAGGGGGGTACATTTCGCACAGTTTCTCCTTCAAAATGATAGTCATATTTATTAAGGCATTTCAGTTTGTGCAGACAGGAATGCAAACAATAAACCTGTTGCCTAGTAACAAAATTGACATCAGAAGTGATAAAGAATGCAAAGATGGCACTATTCTGGAGCCTTTCAAGCCATGAACTGGAACATCGGCACGATCTTACGCATTTAATAGAGCACTATAAAATACATGGGTGCAAGTAGAAAATATTAATGTGCCATGACAGTCTATAATACCACAAATTCTTATTATTGTCTTTAGCAATGCTCGTCCAACCGCCGAGTGTTCTGAATACTTACCGGCCAAACACAAACCTCATCACCGGGATGCTGCATCATTTAGCAGGCAAAAAGATGTACTTGGTCAGCGCAGTTAGTGGCACCAGTTTTACTACCAGTGATCCCAACCTGGACTCAATATTTCTGCAAGAATCGGATGTTTATAAATCAGCTGTCATTGTCAACTGGGGCTGCTGGACATCAAACACAAGCAGGACCTTGACATTTTATAAAGATTATTATTTTAGATCACTAGGCTAGTCAACAACTGCTTTTCCGGTTTAATTCTTGACTAAATAAAATTATTTTTTGGCGCGTCACTAGGCACCTTGAAACAGAAAGACGAAAAGTAAGACACATATGCAACTGTTGAGTCTCTTCATAATGTAGCAATAAAAAATACTCAACCGTTTTACCTGTGTCTTATTCCTAAACTTGTCGGTATTATATACCAGTTTCAACAAGATGATGATGAAATCAAGAGCTTCGAGGCCACAGCAGCCATCAGAAGTATTCGTTCAGAAGTTTCCATGATGCGTCGACTAAACCAGCTTTGGTTTTATAATCTCTCGTCTGCCAAGCGCATTATCTAACGAGCAAGTTTGTATCAATGACCTTAAGGAATGCATTAATTTGTAACAGAGAGATATGTGGTTTGGAAAGGCGTTCGAGGACATTTTCCTGGTTTTATATCATTCATATCAGATACAGCTTGGATTCGACCTTGTTGCTTGAGGAACACTTTACTGTACGCTCGTAAAGAGCGTACAGTAAAGTGACCCTCACTCCAGTCCTCTTCCATAGCGGTTAAGGAAATAACTGGCAGATCTACCAGCGAACCCTTCTTCGTCATTTCCAGGTTGTCAACTGCTGTTAAATCATCCTGCTCGGAACACTTCTGGCATACAGGGACACTGTCGCAGTCCTCGAGGTACCAGATCATATACAGTCTAACTTGTATCCGGAGGTTGCTAATAACATAATCTCAAGAACGGCTTCTTACATTTCACCTCAGTTGCTATATCTTTTTACTGTCTGAGTAATATGCAAATTAGGGCATTGTTTACAGGCTATGTGGTACATATAGCCTGTAAACAATGCCTGGTAACGGTGTTTAACTGCGAATATATTTCTTATACACTGTAAAACATTTACATAAATATACTCGCTGTGTTGGCGAGAGCAGTGTTGGGGAGAGAAGTGGTGCATGAGTGGAGGTCAGAAACTAACCTTCATACAACAATTGTTTGACGTTAAGTGGCTCTCATTCAGGGGGTGTGTTTTGTCGAGTCTTCCTCTAGTCTGACATCATTACTCTCATCACACACTTGTTGACACATTCAGAAATACAGTCAAGTAAAGTATCGAACTGGAATTTCGCGCTTACGTCTAGTTGTACCATTTATTTTCTGTTGGAATTTAAGGTTTTGGTTATTCGCTTCATTTAATTAAGGCCTATCAACTACACTCCACCAAGGTAATGAAATCAAGGCTACTTTAACCCATAAAATAACGAATATATATATATATATATATATATATATATATATATATATATATATATATATATATATATATATATATATATATATATATATATGTATATATATAATATATTTATATATATGTATATATATATATTATACATATATAATATATATATTATATATATATAATATATAAATTATTATATAATATATATATATATATATATATATATATATATATATAATATATATATATATACTATAATATATAAATTATATATATGCATATAATATATATTATATATATATATATATATATATATATATTATATAATATATATATATAATATATATATATATTTATAATATATATACATATTATATAAATATGTATATATAATTAATACACACACATATATATAATTATATA